TATTTCCCATCTCTTATAATCATATGTGTAATATAAAACAAGAATCTACATGAATCATAGGACTAATATAAAACAAATATCAACATTTGTACATTTTTAATAATTATCAGTATGTTTTTAATTCAATGTTTTCAATTATTTTAATATGAAATAAAAATAAGTGATAGGAAGTTATCGTTTTTCAATAGATTTGCTTTCGTAGTGACGTAAAATAAGAGGCATTTTTCAGTTGCTTCAAATAATACTGCTTGCATTACTTAGAGAAGGCTGTATTAGTAAATACTGACAGTGTTTGTTAAATATCTACTATTAGTCTAAATACTTTATGTATTTTTAGTTCATTCAATCCTCACAACTTAAGCAGTGGGCACTATTACCTCTTCCATGGTTTAGTTCTGAATCTGAGCTAAAGCCCGACAGAAAAGGAATAGAATAACCTTCATCTTGATTCAGTCTGTCTCCAGTGTCTTCACACACATCAACTCTGCTACAATACCTTTATCTTATAGGACAAATACTTTCTTGGTGTAGTTTAGGAATTCTTACCCTACCTCATGTTCATGACATCACTTCCCTAAGGTTTTAAATTTCGCGTTGAATATTTTATACTTAGGTTTGTGATATATGTAGAACTGTTTTTGTGTGTAATGTGTATTTATAGGTAGATATGTTTTCCTCTTATGGATACTCAATATCCTGAAATAGTTCTTGAAAATCCTCCAAAAATATTTTCTTATGAATTATTTGCATATGGTGAGGCAGACAGTTGCCCCACACCACTCTCTATTGTTTTAATTTAGTATATTCTCAGTGAATTTGCTTCAGTCTCATGCCTTCTCATTTTCTTTCTTGCTTTCTGCAGCCTGGGGAACTTTCTACGCCAGCAGCAACAGGGAGAAGGGAAGGACCCGGTACAGATATTGGTGAGTGCCTCCTGCACAAACACAGGCTGCTACCACACAATGTTTACCTCCTTCAGACTACAGCCATTAAAGGCAGTGCATAAGCAGATACAGGAGAGGTGAGCCCATCTCTGTGGTGTCTGCTTGGGAAACACCAGCATTTCCTTGCCCTATTTCTGGTGCTGGTTGGGGAATTCAGTTATGTCTTAGAAAGATCAAGTGTGTCTCAAGGATCTAGAACAAGAAATACCATTTGACTCAGCAATCCCATTACTAGGTATACATCCAAAAGGTTATAAATCATTCTACTATAAAGACACATGCACATGTATGTTTATTGGAGTACTGTTCACAGTAGCAAAGACTTGGAACCAACCCAAATGCCCATCAATGATAGACTGGATAAAGAAAATATGGCACATATATACCATGGAATACTGTGCAGCCATTAAAAGGATGAGTTTATGTCCTTTGCGGGGACATGTATGAATATGGAAACCATAATTCTTAGCAAGCTAACACAGGAACGGAAAACCAGATACCACATGTTCTCACTCATAAGTGGGAGTTGAACAATGAAAACACATGGACACCAGGAGGGGAACATCACACACCAGGATCTGTCAGGAGATAGGGGGCTAGGGGAGGTTTAGCATTAGGAGAAATACTTAATGTAGATGATGGGTTGATATGTGCAGCAAACCACCATGGCACGTGTATACCTAGCTATGTAACAAACCTGCACATTCTGCACATGTACCCCAGAACTTAAAGTATTTTTAATAAAAATAAATACATACAATGTGATGCAAAATGTTGCTAGAAAAAAAGATCTCAAGTGTATCAAAGAATTATTCTGTTTGCTGTCAAAAAACAAACAACCACATCATGCCTTGTCTTGCAATATTTGTTCCATGTTTGTTTTAGTGTGGAAAGGCTTTTGACATTTGTGTTATAAATGAACATTGTTATCATCACATAAACATGAAGAATTAAATTTGAATTATTATATTATTAGTGCCTTTATTTAATCATTCATAATCATTTTTTCAAAATATCCTTCAGTTATTTATATATTTTAATGAATCACTATTAAACCAAATGGAAATGTTACCCATATTCTATAAAGTGTTTTCCAGAAATTTCCTCTGAGATATTTCTAGTTGAAAAGAGGAGCAGAAAGTTTGCTGGGAACCACAAGACAAAATTTGCTAGAGACTAACACTTAAAAAGGGTTCTGAGGCCGGGCGCGGTGGCTCAAGCCTGTAATCCCAGCACTTTGGGAGGCCGAGGCGGGTGGATCACGAGGTCAAGAGATTGAGACCATCCTGGTCAACATGGTGAAACCCCATCTCTACTAAAAATACAAAAAATTAGCTGGGCATGGTGGCACGTGCCTGTAATCCCAGCTACTCAGGAGGCTGAGGCAGGAGAACTGCCTGAACCCAGGAGGCGGAGGTTGCGGTGAGCCGAGATCGCGCCATTGCACTCCAGCCTGGGTAACAAGAGCAAAACTCTGTATCAAAAAAAAAAGGGGGGGGGGGAGTTCTGTATATGCTTAGTTTGTTCTAATTTGCAAAGTTCACAAAGCATTAATTTGAATAGCTGGAACATCAAGACTCCCTTCCAGGACACAAAGTCCAGTTATTTCTTTAATATGCATGAATAAACTTCAGCATATTTTCCTTTCCGAAATTTATATACATTGGCTTGAATCTCTGATTCCTTCTACATAGTTTTTGTAAACATCTGCATGGCATTTCCTTGTACTAATGGCTTGTTATAAGTATGTATTCTTCTCTTACTCTTTAATGAGTAAATACTAAAATTGCTTTTTCAGTTAAAAAAAGGAAAGCTGCTTTAAAAATTTGCACATACAACTTCACACAGCAAATATTTTCAGATTTTGGTCTGTAGAAAAGTTGCAACTTACATTTATTTTCTTTTATCAGATAATCTTTTGAAAGTGATTTATGTTTGTGCCTTTTTAGATTGCCAGAAAATCTTCAGAGTTGCTTTTTGTCTACTATGTGTGTGGAGCTCAAAGAGCAACATGAAGTTGCCATGTTCTATGATGCTTATGCCCAGTGCGGTTTCAGAAAACTTGACAGAAATTAGACTATAATGTGGAAGAGCTCCCCTTGGGAACTCAGAGGACAGGTTTCAGGCCTGGGATGAGACAGATATGGGAAGCCTCCAGGAGGAGGAGCAATGGAGAAGGTGCTGGAGAGTGAGGGACAGTGAGTCCAGCAGACAGGCGAGAGAAGGGGAGAGGAAAGAATGTGTTGAGCATGACAAGAGGGCAGTGGGTTGAAAGGACTGCAGGGGTGAGTAATAGGTGAGGAGATGGAGCAGGAAGGGCAGAGCATGGAGGGACTGGGCAGGGGAGGCAGAGAGGGTCGCTTCCTGAAGACTGCATTCTGTGAGTAGGGATTTGAATGTCTGGGTCTGGTTCCCTGAGATGTTACCCCAGCCCCTGAGCTCAGCCTGTGGGGAGGATGAGGAGTGAGTGGGCCCTGTCCTCCAGGGAGGCTCCTGGGCTCTACCAGTGGGGCATGGGGTCTGGGAGAAAGGAGCGTGGAGAAGGGCAGAGAGGACGGCTGGAGAGCTCATGGAGCTTGGATGCCCTTGTTCGCCTTCTTTACAGCGTGGCTGCGACCCTCACTTCCCCGCCAGTATAGGTTTTCGATCCCTCCGTCCTTTTGCAGGTGTGGGTGGGACCCACGGACCAGCAAACTCACAGCTGCCGGCTCCTCTCCACCCGGCTCCCGCATCTCGGAGGCTGGGAGCGGCCTGGCCGGAAGTGCGGGTGCGGGGGTCGCAGCTGCGCAGTGAGAGGACCCAAGGCTGCTGCGCGAGCGGGGCCGAGGGGCGGGGGCCGCGCGCGCGGGGGCGGAGGGCCGCAGGCGGAGCGCGGGACGGCCCGGGAGTGAGCGTGGCGGTCTGCAGGGCCCGCGTTTGGTTTCACGGTCGCTTCTCCGCGAACGCACGCAGGTTCCGGGGCCGTCATCCGTGTTTATTCTACAAGCCTCAGGATGTTCCCGTGTTTTCCAGACTGTAACGTAAATTTTTATGCTTTTTCTCTCTCTCACATGTGCCCTTTTGTATTACGTACATAGCATTTTTCCTAAATTTTCTATTTGTGAATAATTCAATGTACCAACCCGTTTATTTTTAATGGACACTGAGTGTATTTATGGATTACAATGTGATGTTTTGGTTCTTGTATTCATTGTGGAATATTCAAATCAAGCTAATTAACACATGCATCAGCTCACCAGCAGACCAACATTAAAAATCTATTATTTAGCAATTCTAAAATGTATAGCGTGATATCAGAGCAAATGAAACTGCCTGGCCTCAGTAGCTCGAGACTTATCATTTCTGAAGGCGGGAGGGTTCCCATTTGTGAGGGCGCCATTGCTGCATGCCCTTAAGCAAGGGGGGTGTTTGGGATGCTTCGTTTGCCCTGTTAATTTTGTATGCTTCTGTGTTCTAAGAACTATTAAGATAATATGTTTGAAAAATCCAGTTACTCTAACTTTTACTTTGTTTTCTCTTCTAACAAGGTTATAGCTTTTCTTTCACTGACTTTGATTTAATATATTCTTTTTCTAGATTCCAAAGGTGGAATCACAGTTGACAGATTTTTGATCTTTCATCATTTCCTATGTATGCATCCAATGCTATACGTTTCCGTATATGTTCTGTTAGCCTTTCATTCCACAAATTTTGATAAATTGTTTTTATTTTTATTTCGTTGAAAAAATGTTTAAAAATTTCTCTGGGGCTGTCTTGTTTAATTTCTATGCATTTTGGGATATTCAGTTATTCCAGTTATCCTTTGATTTCTGTTAAATCCACTGTTGTGTGAGAGCTGACATTGCATGATTTCCATTTTTTTAAATTGATAGGGTATGTATGTCCCTGAATGTGGTACGTTTTGCTGAATATTCCATGTGAGCTTAAAAAGAATGTGTCATCTGCAGTAGTTGAGATAAGTAGATTGTAGGTATCAGTTATGCCCAGTTGCTTGTTGGTGCTGTTGAGTTCAGCTTTTCTCTCCTGCCTCTCTGTATCTGATGAAGGGTGTTAATGTTTCCAGCTATAAAGCTGAATTGCTGAATTCATCTTTTTCCTTGTTGTTCTGTTGATTTCTGCCCCATTTAGTTTACCTTCTGTTGTCAGGCTCTTCGGCTTTAAGAATTATGACTTTTTTTTTTAATTGCATTTTAGGTTTTGGGGTACATGTGAAGAACATGCAAGATTGTTGCATAGGTACACACATGGCAGTGTGATTTGCTGCCTTCCTCCCCCTCACCTATATCTGTCATTTCTCCCCATGCTGTCTCTTCCCACCTCCCCACACCCGTCCCTCCCCCATTTCCCCACAATGGACCCCAGTGTGTAGTGCTCCCCTCCCTGTGTCCATGTGTTCTCATTGTTCAACACCCACCTATGAGTGAGAACATAAAAAAAAAAAAAGAAATAGATGGTAGTGTGAAAATTTAATCACTGGATGCTAATGAGCAATATATTTACTCACTCATTAGTTGCTTTTACAAAAAATGTTTAAAGTGTGCTTTGGTGCAAAACAAAACAAAAAAAATGTCAGTTTGTCAGTGTCACCTGTCAGTGTGTCCCAGACAACAGCTAAGCTTCTAATGAGGCTATGAACTTAGACCAGAACCAAGGACAGATCTAATCAATTGCTTTGATGGAGTTGAATTCTTAAATTTCAATAAAGATATTTGATACCTTAAAAAAAAAAAAAGAATTACGACATTTTGTTGGAAGAGCGACTCTTCATCTCTATGTAATGCCCGTCTTTATTCCTGATGGCTTTCCTTGCTTTGAAGTCTGCTCTGCCTGTAATTAATATAGCTCCTCATTTACTTTGATTAGAGTTAACATCGTATATTTTGTTCATTTACTTTTATTTCTCTCTAAGTTGGGTTTCTTATAGGTAACATATCTTGTGTCTTTTTTTAGTTCACTTTGTCAAGCTGTGTCTTTAATTAGTGCAGTTAGACCATGGGCATTCAAAGTGATAATTGATATTGTTGGATTAATATTTACCATATTTTTGACTGTTTTCTACTTGTTGCCCTTGTTATTTCATCCTGCTTCATCTTCCATTCATTTTCTGCCTTTTGTGGTTTTCACTGAGCATTTTATCTTATTCTATTTTTCATTTTTTATATTAGTTATGTATGATTTTAACTTTATTGGTTCAATATTTTATATCCTTAATTTATTATGAGAAAATAATTTCTTGGAAAAATAGGAAAACTTATTAGATTATATGTGTCTATATATCTTATTTTTATTTATATGTATATATGTACAGACATGCACATTTTCGTGTGTGTGTGTGTGTGTGTGTGTGTGTGTATGAAATAGATGCTAGCAATAAGATAAAGGAAAATAGAATAGAATTAAGATTATGTTGCTGTTATAAGATTTTCATAATACCTGTGAAGCAATATAATTGTATTTGAAAAGTGACTTGGGTGAATTTTAAATATAATATTTCCAACTGTAGGACAGTCTGCTGCACCAAACAACCCTTCCTTCCTGACTGCTGACAATAGAGTGAATAAAGTGCCTTGCCAAGTGGGCTTTTCTTACATGGCAAAATGATTCATAAAATCCATCAAGGGAAAGAGATTCCTGGCAAGAATATCATAATCATATGTAATGTATTTAATGTATGAATCTAAGTGACATTTCCACATCTTTGTATTACTATATTGTTTCAAAGCAAGTGACATTTCCTGCTTATACTCACTGGAGTGAGATTAGAATAGATAGGAGAAGGTGGGGATAACAGTTGGACACCAACTTAATGTCTGCTTGACACATCAGGTATTCTCCTGTATGAATCAGGTACTCTCTTTGTCTCACTTGTTTTTTGTGACCTTAACCCTTTTGAAAAGTACTGGTCAGATGTTTTATAGAATGTGCTTATGCTAGGCATATCAATGAATTAAACACAGTCACCTAAATTTGAAGACCAAAAAAGACCTAAAAAGTAATATTTATAAATAAAAACTCAAGAAGAAAAATAATTTTTAAAAATATGGAATGGCAAAGAATTCACAATATAGTTAAGTTTGGTGGTTAAGGGAAACTATGAAGTTAAGGAGATACACAAAGGAGGTATCAACAATTTTGCTAATCATCAGTTTTCTTAAGCTTGCAAGTGACATTTTTAGGCTGGGCATGGTGGCTCGTGCCTGTAATTCCGGTACTTTGGGAGGCTGAGGTGGGCAGATCACTTGAGGTCAGGAGTTAGAGACCAGCCTGGCCAATATGGTGAAACCCCATCTCTAATAAACATACAAATAATAGCTGGCCATAGTGGTACATTCCTGTAGTCCCAAATACTTGGGAGGCTGAGGCAGAGAGTAACTTGAAAAGAGGGAGAAGTTGCAGTGAGCCAAGATCATGCCACTACACTCCAGCCTGTGTGACAGAGTGAGACCCTGTCTTAAAAAATAAACACATTTTTTTAAAGAATAGTTTTACATTTGCAGAATAATTACAAATATAGTAAAGAGTTTCCATATACTCCACTCACAGCATCCCTTATTATTTACGTTGTACATTAATGTAGGACATTTGTCAAAATTAACCAACAAATATCATGTATTATCATTAAGTACTATATACACTTTCTTCAGGTTTCTTAGTTTTCACTTAATATTGTTTATGTTTTAGAATTTCATCCAGGGCACACTATCACATTTAGATATCATGTCTTTAAGTTTCTCAGAGTTTCCTTGTTTTTGATATCATTGACATTTCTAATTTGGGATTTCTCTGGTGTTTCTCTCATGATGAGACTGAATTTGTGGGTTTAGGGGAGGAATATCACAGATGAAAAGTGCCATTCTCATCCCATAATATCCAAGGCACAGTCTATCAACAGACTTTATCAGTGTCAATATTAATTTGATCACCTGGATGAAGTAGTTTCTAACAGATTTCTTCTTTAATTTTAAATATAATTTTTCCCTTTTTTCATGTTTTATGTATAGGGACAAAACAGTCATCATATATAACACATAATTAAAAAGTAGTTAATCATGCTGCACTGCTTTTTTTGGGTAGATTACTAAAATTTTCAATAGCTTTATAGTTTGAAGTGGTTTTTGGTTACATGCATGATTGGCATAGTGGTGAAGTTTGGGATTTTAGTGTACCCATCACATGAATAATCTAAATTTTACCTCACAGGTAATTTTTCATCCCTTGCCCTCTTTCAGTCTTCCTCCTTTCTGAATGTTTAATGTTCTTGATTGTACTTTGTTATGTCCCTGCATAGCCATTGCTTACCTCCCACTTATAAGTGGGAACATGCATTATTTGGTTTTCTGTTCCTGAGTTACTTCACTTACGATAATGACCTCCAGTTTCAACAAAATTGCTACAAAAGACTTATTTTGTTCTTTTCTATGAGTGAGTAGTATTCTGTGGTATAAATACCACATTTTCTTTATCCACTAAGTAGTTGATGGGCACTCCAACTTATTTCATAATTTTTCATATTTTTGCAATTTGTAAACCTAGAAGTACAGATGTATTTTTGATTGAATGACTTCTTTTCATTTGGGTCAATACCCAGTAGTGGGATTGCTGGACTGAATGTTTGACCTGCTTTTAGTTCATTGAGAAATCTCCACACTGTTTTCCATACAGCTTGTACTAATTTACATTCCCCACCTAAAGGTGTATAAGCATTCCCTTTTCACCTTATCCACACCAATATCTTATCATTTATTGACTTTTTAATAATGGCCATTCTGAGTAGGTAGGGTGAGATCTCATTGTGGTTTTCATTTGCATCCTAGTTGCTTATTCATGTAGAACTGTCTTCCTGTGTTGTTTGGCCATTTGTACATACTTTGAAAACTATCTGTTCATGTCATTTTCTCACTTTTTAATGGGATTATTCATTTTTTTCTTGCTGATTTGTTTGTGTTTTTTGTAGATTCTTGATTAGTCCTTTGTTGGATGTATAGTTTTTAAATATTTTCTCCCATTCTGTAGGTTGTCT